CTATTGGTTTTTTTTTTTTTTTTTTTTTTTTAAAATAAAGTTTTACTGACATATGTCATCTTAACTTAGTGTTGATTAGATACATTTTTTTTTTTTTTTTTTTAACATTTGGAAAAAATATAACAATTAGTAATAATTAGAAAAATTATTAGTAAAAATAGAAACTATCGACTACGTTTTAAAATGTATCTATTGGTGGTACAACATTATTCAATTGATTCGCGCAAGCCTTGTTCGCAATGTAATATTATTATTATTATTGCATTTGCCGTGGAAGTAGAAAATAATAATAATATTATACACAACCGCATTTTTCTTATTCCGAAAAAATGACCACAGTCCATCCATTATGCCTCTTCCTATAATGCATTCTTCGCTCTATATAATATTTAAGATATTTATGACGATCTGACGTATAAAATATACTATACATTATTATTGTTATTATTATTGGTGGGTGTAGTTCTGCCGCCGAATATTCGCCGCCGTAATTGAATAAGACGTGATGGTATCGACGATTGATGCATTATACGGGATGCATTCAATAACAATAATTATTATATTTTAACAGTAGGTATATTAACTTATAGGCAATATTATTATTATTAAACTTTAACGTTGTCGTATAATATTGTACAAAAGCTTATATTGTTATTGTAACTATTTATATTTTGCTCAAGAAAACTATTTGCTCAGTGCAATTCGTGTTCAATGTATATCTACTGAAGCGCATATATTTTCCAAGAGTCTACGATCTAACATCTGTGTACAACGTGCAATTTAAAGACCTATTTAGTTAATTAATAATTAAATATATATATATATATATGTATATATAGGTGCTAAAGTGAGGGGTATGATAATGTTATTATAATTTATTAGTCTTAATAATACACTTACTGTGATGCGCGGCGCACGTATGTCTTGTATATACAGCGTGATAATGGTATGCACAATAGGTATAATATTAAATTGAATAACACCTCGCGAAAACTGTAGCAGAGGACGCACACTGCAGCTGCAGGAGAAAGGACATGGCCAGTGTCCTGCTGATCAGTGGGCGACGGCAGCAGGGGGTGCAACCGAAGCAGGGATTCGCCACATTATTCCTGCAGTAAGGATCGCCATCATCTCCTCGAAACGTCTTTTTTTCCTGCAATCCTCAACGGCAGGACGCAGAAAGTTATACGACACGGTCTCCGAACACAATACGAAATCACATTAATAGTCTACGCGAGTCGCTCTTCTGCGGGCAGGACTGCAGTAATATGTGACGAATAACATAAAATATGACAGTCGGGATGCGATATTTCGACTCTTCAACGCGAATAATTGGTTTGCCCACTCGTTCTAAAGATGCTGCGGTTCCCGCGGTCAAATCGTTTATAATCCAATGCACTCGAGAAGAAACCGATTTGTATGAAATGTATTGTGATCATCTATTGGCAAGTGCGAGTTCGCAATTGTGTCGTAACCGATTTTTCATTGTCGCGGCGAACGAATAAATGCTAAAACGTTCCCGGCAGTCACTTGTCTTGTAATTCTATTAATAACATTAATATTATTGTACCTATGTAGGTACTCGATTTTCGATCGATCGATTTGATTCGATCTAAAAATAATCGGTCGCCGACCAAATGCCGAACTATGATATAATTACTGTATTATATGGTTGCAGGCCACATCACTCGACACATAGGTATATGGTATATGGTATATGGTTATATTATGGTGAATAAAATACCTCGCAATAGTCAGTGCTGCTCATATTATTATTATTGTTATAAGGCGTAATTGTTCTGGAACGGACGAGAAATATGATAGGGACCATTGACAACTGATCGATCACATTACTATATGTACCTATAGTAAAAATACGCACTAGGTATATATGTATAAAAAGGGGAATTGAAAAGGTTCTAAAACATAATTTGTATGAAGTTCAATTTTATAAAAAAGGTTACAGTTTTAGAAAGTTTCAGATATTACAATATTATCAATACCAATAAAAAGAAAAAGAAAAAAAATAATTTATGTTTTCGTGTAATATCGCCACTATTTTCGATCTGATTGACCGCCAATTTGTGTGGATTTGTTTTTAAAATTTGAAGTATTCATTTCCATCAAGATAGAAGAGTATAGACGAGGAAAACTTTATTATGATTTATGGGGATGGGGACCATAGAAATGGCGGAAGTTTATTACCAACATAAACTGTATCATGTTATTAAATATATATGAACTATATTGGACTCAATTTGGTACCACAGTATACATTTTGAGTCCATCAATCGAATGAGTAAAAAAGGCAAAAGGTCGAATAATAAAAACATATATACTTCATAGTATGCATTATAATAAAAAAAAACTAAATTTGGCTAAGTACTAATAAATATTCATCATCGTGTGTTCATTTATTTATGTGTTTCTCTTGTACGATGTCGTCGTTCAGAAAACAAAAAATACATGAACTTTTTCGACGATAAAAATAGAAAATGTTGTTTTGTTATGACTTAAAATTTTGTAAAAAACGTATTTTCAAAAACTTCAATCAAAAGTTTCCTTAAAAATCGTGTGCTTTACAGTTTACAGTAAAAAGGTTAGTTCTCATTCGTAAAAAACAAGTTTATTTGATATTGTCACCGGACACACACCACTAATTCAATGGTATTAGAAATCTGAATAGTTGAAAATATGGTACACCTATTACTGTGCGTGTTGTGAGACTGAAAAATTCCAAAAATCAAAACTCGAACACATGAGTTCACTGTGCTAACGGGTAGGGGGGGGGAGTAGGGAGGGGGTGCGCAAGCTTGGCGAATCACCCTGTATACAATAAACGGTAATGCATTACACAGTTGCGTGCGACACAACAACGAGTATATTATACATCGTAACTTAAAAGCATCGAATTAACTACTAAATATAGGAACACGTGGCAGCGTCGATATACATGCCTTTCCACTACCTATATCTACGCACACACACAGGTATATCGGACAACCTGTCGACCGGCGGTTCTAATGGTTTTTCATCCGGCCGGAAGTGCCGCGGAACGCAATACGAAAGCATTTCGCAAACCTCCAGGTATATAGGTGCACAGCGAAACGATACCATAAAACGGCGACCACATAATATGGATTAGTCGTGTAATATACCCAAGTGTTTTACGGCATACCGTACGGCCGGTGTGGCGCCAAACCGTAATATTATTGTGGAAATATGTTTATTGACTTAGGACCTCCACCCCCCCCCCCACGCACCTGTCCGGGATTAATATGTATACCGGCCAAAATCATTTTACGTATGAACCCGCCGGGCGTTTGATTATCGTCGTGTCCGGCTGGCGCCACTGCAGTTTCCGAAAGTATAATAAATATTGTATTTTAATCGGAGAACCGACGGATACAGGATTTTCCGTAGAACAATTAATAATTTAATGATATGCACCCGAACGATGAGACTTCGCACGTCATTAAGATTTGGCTTGGACAGATGAGTGACGGACACCTGCGATACTTTCAAAAATACGCCGGTACGTCAATTGACTAGTGCCCGAATTCAGATGTCCCGAAAACTGTTAAAAATGCTTCAAATTATGACAGAAAATGGATCTTCAACGCAATAATACCCTCACAAATTACTCACACTTTTTTGATAGGCAAGCAAGCCAGAGTTTAACGATGGTTTCAACTTTCGGCCAATTGAACACATATTTATCTTAACCCTTCACCGACCACGCGGGGTACATCTATTCGCAACAGACAAACATCAAATACGAAAACGTGTAAAACCAACCTATTAATAGTATTGTTTCGATAACTTTCAGTACCAATTCCAACAGCACAAAATGGGTAACGTACATCGAAGACAAATTTTTTTGTTGTAATTTGCCGCTAAACTGTTAGTTTATGCATATGATTGACGTTTATAAACCCTATATCAAAGCGAATATTATTACGAAAAAAAAAAATATTTTTGATATAATATTTTGAATTTTCAAATTTGCACTAAAAGGAAAATATCGAAATACGCTAAAATTACCCGAAATAGTTTAAAAAAAAAAAAAAAACGCAAAATTAAAGTTTCACAGTTGACGTTTATTACCAATTGCGTGTGAAATGAATTACGCACAATATAATATACTTGGCGAACGCACTCTCCTGGAGAGCAGAACTTTGCATTGAAATCCGCACCATATATATGGATGTATTGTCATAATGCTAATGATTCGTTTAAAATATTTTCGTATCGTGTAATATTGTTGACGATAATATGATTGTTTCGGGAACCGATAGCGAATTATTTGATTTCGCTTCCGCCGAGACCGAATAATAGTAATCAACTGCGACGCACCACGCGATCACGGCGGCGTTTATTTCGTGCGTTATTCGTAAATCGCACAGTCCGCCGATTAAATCGTTATTGTGCAGCGGACACCGACGGATCGACGTGGTCGCAGTCGTATATCCGGTGACAATGGACTTCGATTAACTGCAGCTCACGGCGCAGGTTCAAAATGATGCATTGTATACGATAGTAATGATATCGCATGCCACGGTTATTGTTTCGTGTTTTTGATTATAGTTCCTCGGAAATTCCATCGCTCCGCGTTTGTGTGCGTGAGCGCCGTTTACGATATTATTACAATATAATATTATGTATATTTTACTCGAATATTCGTACCTATACTCGTCGTTATTAATATAATATTATATCACCGCAGACGACGGGTCGGACGAGTATTGTGCCTAATCACGAGCCAACAGACGCGAATCGAACCGGCCGAGGCCAATAATATTTCGTCGAAAACGCGTAGAACGGTCAGTGAAATATACGCGATACCGTTGGAATAGAAGTAACGGAATAACACGATATAACGCAATATCGTGCCTCGCGTTAAATTTAATATTATATATTTTGTACATACGATTCTTTTATTTTTTTTTTTTTTTTTTTTTGGGGGGGGGGTGTTACATGGGGCGTTATAGGGGGTAGCATAACAGCGTTGAGCCAGTGAAGGTCCTATATTATAGTATATTAGGCTCGAAGACGCTTACCTGTAGCTGTGGCAGTGGCGTGAGCTGTTGCTGGTGCTGGAGCTGCTGGTGCTGCTGGTGCTGTTGCTGTTGGAGCAACAAGTGAGCGAGATCGTGTTGCTGTTGCTGTTGTTGCTGGTGATGGTGGTGGTGCAGCTGATTGAGAAGGGCCAGAGCGGCGGCGGCGGCCGTGGTGGCCGAGTGATGGCCCGCCATGTGGTTCGGGTGCTGAGGCGGCGGCGACGGTTGCAGCGGTTGCGCCGGCATCGCGTTTAGATGATGTGGGTGGTGGTGGGGGTGGTGGGGGTGGTGCGGATGGTGTGGGTGCGGGTGGTGCGGGTGGTGCGGGTGCAACCCGATGAACGCGATGGGCGCGGCGCCCGGATTGGCCGGGGCCATAGCGTTAGGCGCCATCGCGGCCAGTGCCAGCATGTTCTGCGACGGGGCCAGCTGTTGGGGCAGGCCCCAGGGCTGCACGGCCGCAGCGATCCAGTGCGGGTGGGCCACCTGGTGGTGCATGGCAGGCGGCGGTTGCACGGCGTTCGGGGCGAACAGACCGCTGACGGGCCAGACGAGGTGCGGGGGCGGTGCGGGGGACGGCGGCGGCAGTCGGTTCACCACGGCGGCGGCTGCGGCTGCGGACGGGCACGGCTGCTGGTGCGGCTGTCCGGCTGGCTGACGGTTTTTCCCGGCCACTGTTCGCACCACGACCCGAACCCGGTCCCGTTAATGCGGCGATGGGTGGTCGGGTGGGACACGTCGGTCGGTCAGTGGTCGGTCGGTCGGTCGGTCGGTCGGTGCTGTAAATGCAGTCAATCGGCCGGTTAGCTGCAGTCTGAAACGATATAATATTATATGATTTAATATCATCGTAATGATCATCACAGACGTATAATATTTTAATGTGTAGGTATACAACAGACGCAAAGGGAAAAATTATGATTTCACCAATAAAATAATCAATAATTATTGTTATTATTGCACTCCAAATGATTACCCGCCGACTATGATAATTTGTGTAGAGGGTTCGTTTAATGCTATATTATGGTGTAAGTGCAGAATAAAAATAATGCAGCCCCGCGAGTATCCATGTCGATATTTTTTACAACAACTTTGGGGCCAAAGTCTAAAGTCACTGTTAATGTTTGATCGGCGGTAATTTAAATGCGATTTTAAATCTGAACAGGGTGTACTCGCCGAATTATTGATTGGTGAATAATTGATGAATTACTTTCGTGGTGTCGTCAGGAAGTTATTCGGGTCAAAGCTCGGGAAAAACCGCATATTATGAACCTGTAAATCGGCGTGTATATGTATAAAAATGAACTGAGCTCAATACATTTTTGGTATTTCAGTAAATATTTTGTAAACCGTTATGTAAATCGTAATTTTTCGTAATGTGTTTTTTCGAGTAAATTAAATTTCCAATATATATTTTATAATTCAACATTTTTCGATGATTCTATTTATTTACAAGATGCGTAAGCTTTAATCTTAAAACTCACGATTTCTCCACAAATATATTATTTACATTTTATTATTTTTCTGTAGGTTTAATATATTACTCGGGCGGCACTACTGTCCTCCCTTATCTGTCAGTCTCGCTATCTAAATATCTCATATCAAAATTACTTATTGTAGAGAAATGTTGTATAGATTGTAATTAAATATATATTTTTGATTATAATAATAAAAAAAATAATGTACAATGTTGGGTAAAATCGATAAAATAAATAATATAAATTATAAATATAGGCACCATAATTGTAGTTATACATAATGTTGTTGTTGAAGTGTACTTTTTTTACAATTGGGGAAAGTTTTTCGATGTTCTTGCACACACAGTAAGACATACTGTTTTACTTGTAAATTTTACATAGATCGATTCGGTTGTAAAACATAGTATTATTACCGACGATTTATAGCTTTTCAGTTTAATTCGAAAATAACATATATTAAAGGTACCCTGCTAGAGGGCAACGCTCCCTCGCATTGAGGATGGTTTAACGCCATTACAATATTATTATATTCAACCACTATAATAATAAGAACTACGGAGAATCTGAATTAAAATAATGAAGAATGTGGTTAAAAAAAAAAATAGAAAATATATTCGTCTCATCGTTCAAAATCTAAAACTTCATTGTGACTACTAAATAGTATTATATAGGTTTGCAATATTATAATTATATAAATCACAAATAATATGTACATGCCCATTGCGTGTATTATGTCGATGGTACTCATTACTCAAGACACGCGCGCGCGCGCGCGCGTCGTATAACATAATAATTGTACCAGGTATACGGTATAGGGTTGTATCGTCGCGTCGGTTGACCGGCCATGTGGTATATATTATAGGAAACGAATCAGTTTTTCGTGTATTACCACAAAAAAAAAAACCGGACACTTATATTATGATGGATGCGCTTGCCTATCAAAAATATGAGTCGGAATGACGTCGGCGGGGCGATCAGTAAAATATTGAAATCCGTTACTTTTTAAGTCGTTCACAATTTATGAATGTTTTAAATATATATTTGGTTCACCGGAAAAGGGGAAAAAAATACTATGCACCTAACGATTGTTTTTGAGTGTTTCGTAATAAGGGGTGAACTATTTAACGTAAGACATTCACTATTTCAGAAAACACTGACGTTATTGAAAATATTTCTCTTACATAATTTTAAATCGTTACGAAACGCAACATTTTTCGGTTAAAGTGTTATAGTTTTTGCAATTTTTATCTCGATACCTATATCATAAAAATATTAAAGAAATTATAGGCACGGCTTGCATTGAGATGGAACCTCTATCCACAAAATTAAAAAAAAAAAAAACACTCGCAAACGTCTTCAGTTTTAGTCGGGCGATGGGTAGACAGATTGAGAAGAATCCCTTATTAGTAACTATATTTATAGGACAGGTTTTATGTATAGGTGGTTGGACGAGTGTTGAGTAACAAATCTCAATGTTAGACGCATTAACAGCACTCGCCGGATGACCGTATGAAATACGAGTATTCTGAAAACAAAATATAAATATTCTGTGCAAGGATAGTAATGTTATAGATAAATACCGTTCAAGGTTTAGTAGGCACTCGTACAATATCGTGATTTTATACGTCTCTGAACGAATAAGTCGGGACCGGTGTCCCAATAAAACATTCGTATCAATATATTACATTTTAAGCATGCAGGGCTGCAGGACAAGGTATCTAGGCTATCGATACGTTGTATTTTGAGCAAGGAGAGCTGAAAGACGAGATCTATTAGGCTATAATCATCGATAAATAAATTACAATATAATATTATTTTTAACGAATAAAATAGGGTTTTCGGTTATATACTGCAGGTTGTATTTTTTTTTTTTTTTCGTTTAAATTAAAAAATATTTTGAATCTCAGATGCATTATTTTAATATTTTTTATTACGATAACTGAGTTTATATTTTAAAAATGTAATTGAGTTTGATTTATTTTATAAAATGTGTTTATATTTTGGTTGGGTAATTAATAGATTTAAAATTCTTTGACCTTATTATAATTTTGTAATTTAAAAAGTTATAATCACCACAACTAGCGCGTACATCGTGCGTAATCTATTATTCAATTATAATATAAAGTGATGGCCTCTATTATTTAATAAAAAACCGAATAATAAAACAATGAAATTACTGAATAAAATAATAACGGCGACACAAAAAATCGTAACAATTTTGCTAGATCAAAGGCGTACACATTTCGCATCTATATACTGCAATAATTATGTGAAAATAGAGTTCTGGATGTATATCAGAAATATTTCGCCCTACAAGCGACTTCGCGCAACCGAATAATAATAATAATAATAATAATAGTAATAATAACTAAATCGTAGTCGTCTGTCTGAAGCAGCGGCGTATATCTCTGCAATGGTGGGCAGCAGCAGAGTGTAGGGCGGTCACTGCATATTATGTATAATATTTTACTATGTAAAACGAGTACAACAATAATATTAATATGTGCGTAATATACTGTCGATTACAAGCGTCAAACGAGATTTTTCTCTCATATTATTGTACGATTTACATATTATATTATGTTTGGCAGACGTTTATTTATATAAAATACTCGTATGCGTGTATATATATACCCCCAAATACACTGCAGCTATAATACGCGTGTAATGTCGTCGTCGTCGTCGTCGTCGTCGTATAATAATATGTCTTCTGACGAAATTACATGTATAACACCGTCCGTCCGTCATCCGCGTACGATGACGTTTTTCTGTCACTCGGATTGTGCGAATGACGTCGTAGTATACGCATTTCGGCATTTGATGAGAGCAGCAGACATCGTGTTTAAGCGGACGTCGTGTGTAAGTGTAAGTGTTGTCTCCGTCTTACAAAACATAGCAACAGCTGTTTTTCGCGGGCAAGAACCATTCAGTCCGAGCTGAGCAATCACAAATGTGTACACTGCGAAGAGGAGAGCATTTCCACGTTGTTTTTTATTGCTTTCGATATCAGAACTCGAAAAAAATTCATGTTTGACCAACTAAACAATAACAAACTTTTAAATAATAAAAACTTTTTTTACTACTTGTATTATCGAAAAACATTGAAAACAACGTGGCAGTCAATGTCATCCGACGATTCCTAGTGTGAACATTTGGTTGCTTAACTCGCACTACAGCCTGTGAGTGTTTGTTGCCCGCGTGAAACGGTTTTTACAAACAGTTTGTTTACAAGGTGGTCAATTTTGGTTAATCCTACGCTCACCAGAGCTGACATTCCACTTCATAGTGTTTATTTTGAAAATCAAATAAAATAAACATAAGGTAAATTACGTTTACACGTGTTTGTGTGAAACAGCTGATTTATTGAAACTGAAGGACATATTAATTTTAGTTTGTCATACGGAGTTCAACGACGTACAGGATCGGCTGTAATTGATAAATATGTCTACTATAATAAGTCGAAGGCTTAAAACGGATGACAACAGTTTTTCACAGATCTTCATAACATTTTCGTCAATAGATTGGGCAAGATTCGCAGTGCCATTATATAGGCCTACTTTTTACTGTTCAGCATTGAATGTTTTTTATCTGTCATTTTTTTATTTATACGCCTATTTTAACCATTAGTTACGGAAAATAAAATAATTATTATACAATATGTTTGGATATTACAATTTTAGACTTGTATCTTATATTCGGTAAAAACCGCCCAAATAACTGCAGTGTTAAACATCTGTGCGGCTTATGTTTATAACGGAATTTAAGAATGGGTTACATTTAATTTGACACGGGCAAAGCAGTGCAGAACAGTATTGAATATTAATGACGCTTGTAATTTTTTTTAAACTTTGATTACTTTATGCGTTATCGAAACAAACGCACTGCGGATACTGTTTCAAATTATTATTTTATTTCATAGACATCGACGAATTACGAGCAAAACATCTGGAAACGTTATTTCTAGCTGACCCGGTCTGAACCTCGATCTACGCCTATAAAGCGTCTCACTAACCTAACTGCTACAACTCCTCTTCATTATACTCATCTTTTCTTCCTCGCACCCCGGCGACCACTTCCTTCTAATCATCGACAAAAACGTTTTCCTTTCCTCGCAGCCGTCAGTGGGTCATGAGTTATCATAAGTATGAAGGTACCTATCAGGGGCGTAATTAAGGAGGAGGGATAGATCGCCCCAGCCTATCTGTATATATATATATATATACGCTACCACTGTAATTGAAAGTGTAGTATTTCATGTGTAAAAAATTTCTATTCCCAAGGGACAAATTCTTAATTACGCCATTGGTACCTATAATGTACATTCAAGAGCACATGA